CCTCATCTCCACACCCACTGCCGTTACCTGGGCAGGTCTCATTATGTGTCACCTGGCCCACTGTTCCGGGTCTCCATCCCCTCATTTATTCTCTGTGTTGAGCAACCACAGGGGTCTTGTCATCTGTACCCCGCAACCCCAGCTTAGGCCCTACAGTGGCCTGCAGGACAGCATCTAAGATCCTGAGACTGCCCTTCAAGACCATCTTCTGTCTTCCCTGACGCCTCTCCAGCCATACTCCTACCGCTCCTCCCCACACCCTGCTGTCTGGGAACTTGCCTGCTTTGTTCCTCATCACACATTCTCTCGCCTCCCTGCATTTACTACAATGTCTCTCCTCTGCCAGAGAGACTTCTCCCACCCCAGGTAACACCTACTCATCTTCAAAGAGTCAGCTCAAATTATCACCTCCTCTAGGAAGCCTTCCTGGACACCAGGATGAACTCCCCTCTGGCACAGGCACTTCCTGTTAGTCTCTTCAGTGTACAGGTGACAGCACCACAGGCAGAGACAGTCTGGGCTCCTCTGTGCTTCATGACCCCAGCTGGGCACAGACATGGCACACAAGGCTCATAGTGGCACTCAGCGACTGTGAGTGGCTGGGTGTTTACTGATCTTCTTCCACCCTGGGCTTTATAACTCATCATTGTGACCTTGGGCACACTGCTGAGAGCTGGGACCCTCATGGGGAGAGGGTGCAGAGGGCACTCAGGGTCAGTGCCCTGGAGGATGTGCTGGATCAAACAGGCTGGGCACTGGGGGAATGAGGGAACAGACAGAGGGATAGAACTACAAGAGGAATCTGAGACATGGTGTCCTGTGTGGTCTCAAGGCTGGGCTGTGACGCAGAATGTGGCCTTGAGTGGGGAGCCTAGCCCAGGCTGCTGGGATAGGTCAGGCTGCAGCCTCTCAGTCCAGCTGTGCTGCCCAAGGTTGCCTCTGAGTTCTGAGGGTAGGCAAAACTGGGGGCAGGGGGTGCTGCCACCTCTCGGAGTCCCATGGACAGAGGGTACTGGCCAGGGTAGAGACTGAGGGGGATAAGCCAGGACCAAGGTCCTTCTCAGTCTTCCTGGGGAGACCCCATGCTCAGAGACCACCAGGCTGGGGGGGACATAGGGGCCTGGGGAAGGTCTACAGAGCTGATCTCCAAGGGTAGAGTCCTGAAGACACTATGGCCCTTCTTCTAGCAGGAGCCACATGGCCGAGGAAAAGACACCACTTCCTCTGGCCCTCAGCTTTCTTTGTCTATCAAGGGGAGATGTTAAGAACAGAGATTTGTTCACCCCTGGGACTGCTGGGATGAAGAACAATGGGATCCTAGGAAGGGCAAGCCCTGAATGGGAAGGGGGATAATCAAATTCATGGGTCAGGTGGCAGGGCTGACAGCCCCTTCCCCTGAGACTCCCTCCATGCCCATATGTGCACATGCATGCACACTCACACACACACACTGGCAGTCTTCGTGCGATTACAAATTGCTGGGTAGACCATAAAAGGACAGGTCAGGTTGTGGGAAATTAGGGGTCTCTCTACAGATAGCTCAGCAGGAGTGGAGGTGGGAAGGGAGGAATTAGAGTGTGGGAGGGGAAGGGTTGGGTCAGTGTGCTTGAGGGGGAAGCTTATAAGGGGCCTCGCATGCCAGAACTTAGACTTTGCATCTGGTCCAAACTCAGGAGCTCACCCTGAACCACAGCCGTGAAGATCTCAGGCCTCCACCAGCACACACCTAGATAAGGTGCCCACACTGCAGTGTCCAGCAGGGTTCTCCCTTGCCTGAGGCCTCTCTCCCTGACCCTTACCTTGGGCAGACCCCACCTGAGGAAGAAGCTGGTGAGTCAGCAGTGGGATCAAGCTAGCTTTTTCACATCTGCTGATTGCGCCCTGTAGTGGGCCACGTGCAGGTCGGAACAGTGAGATGAGCCACACGCCCACCTCTCCTGACACAGAGAGGCCTCGGTACGTTAGCCTCCTTGAACAGCAGACAGGAGAACCCCTTCTTCCACCTCCACCCCAAGGCAGCCTTGGCCTCAGGGACAAAGGGCAGAATGGGGTCTCAGGACATCAGATGGACATTGGTACCTACATTGGCCGCCTCCTCCATCCATGTCCCTTCATTTCTGTAGATAGATTCGGCCAAAGTCAAGTCATTCTTCTTCCCTCTGAGAGAGGTCTCCACCATCCGTCAATCAAGTGGGTGCAGAGAACACAAGTTTTAGAGCAGAGGTTGGGTTCCAGTGCTAGCTCCACGTTTGCCGGCAGTGCCCTTACAGCACTGAACCTGTGTGAGTCTGAGGGTGTTCTGAGGCATCATGCCAGCCCTCAACGAGGATCAGTATGTATGCCTGCTCATCCTCAGAGGACACTGTGAGGAAGCCTCACTGAATTGGGAGGCCTCCCAGGGTGCAGAGCCTGTGGTGAGGGCCTGGGAGCAGGACCCTCAGAAGCATCCCCAGCTCTGGGCTGAGAAGAGCCCGTTGCTGCTGAGAGCTGGGAGGGTCCCCAGAGGAGGGTAGCAGTGTGGACACTTCGTGTACTTAACCAAACTTCAGCCAGGCTTTCATTTTTAATTTGTTAAATGTTTTTAACTTATTTAAGCATGCATTCAGACAAATGCACAAAACGTAAGTGTATTCACTGTGGTGACTTATTACAAAGTACATAGTAAATGCTCAACGAGCTCAAGAGGTAGGGCATTTCCAACAGCCCTGAAGCTCCCTGGTGCCTCCCAGTCACACCCCGCCTCCCCCAACGGATCTCATCCACTGACTTCTAACGTTATTGAGTTTGTCTGCTTGTGAACCAAATCTATATGGAATCCTAGAATGGGTGTTTTTGTTGGATTTCTTTTGTGCTTGATGTTGAGATACCTCCATGTGGTTTCACGCAGCTGACCTTGGCCCCTTTGTGTTGCTGTGCAGCACCCACTGTGCCACTCTCTCACCGTTCTACTGTGATGGACACTGTGTCCTGTCCAGTTTGGGGTTATTATGAATAAGACTGGTAGCAATGTTCTTCCCCTGCTTCTGTGTGTTTATTGGGTATGTGCTCAGGAATACCATCGCTAGATCATAGGCTCTACGTATGTTCAACTTTAATAGTATCCAGTATCCAAGCAGATCTCCAAACTGATGAGGGGGCAGCCAGGAGGAAGAGGAAGGGGTCTGACCTGCTGATGAAGCAGCCACTGCACAGAAATGGGGTGGGACGAGAACGGCTCCCTCCAGGGCACACCTGCCCCTATGGGCCCTGTGCCAGCTGCGCACACACGCTGACTCTGAGCCCCGCAGCTCCTGGGCTGTCCCATGTGAGGAACCTGGGGCTCAGGCCAGAAAGGGCCTGTCTCAGCTCGCTCAGTGAATCCTCGGCCAGCCTGGGCTCTGACAGGGGCCTGACCACAGAGCCCTGTGTGTGTGCAGTCTCGGGGCTGGCACCTACTTAACGGGGCTGGCTGAGGACACCAGATGGCAGATCTGGAGGAGACAAGACCTGGAACTCCTCTGGGGCAGGTGCTAAAGAGAAGGATCCCACACTGGCACCAGTTAAAGGAAGTCCAGCCAGAAGGCTAGACAGCAGCAGGTGACCACTAGTGTCTGGTGAGCCCCCGCTGGCCCTGAGCTCCTCCCCAGAAGCCAGTGGCCCACCCTGCAGCAGGCTGGTGGCAGTGGCTGGGAGGCGAGCCACATCCCCAGTCAGCATGAGACCTAGGCGGAAGGAAGCTGGGAGCAGAGCTCTGCTTCCAGGGGCCTGGGGCCCCAGCTGTTGTAGGAGCCCGCCCCCACAGGCAAGTCCTCCACAGCTGCAGGGAGGCGGAGCAGCCAGGGCTCAGTGGTCTCCTGCTGCCCCCACTTCCCTCCTCCCACTCCCCCCCTGACTCCACACCCAGCTCTGCCCCCCATGCATCTTTCTGGCTTCAGGTTTGGGGGCCCTCTATTATATCCTGTGCTGTTTAGATTTAAGAAACTCCCTTTGTGAAACTTTTTCTAAATCACAAAAGGGTATTTCTCATTATATAATAAATGCTTGTAAAATCGCTTATTAATTCTTTCATGCATACATAAGGTCAGACATAATTTTTTCCCAGATTGAGATCATACTGATAATTTTTTAAATAATCTGTTGTATCATTTCCCAATATATCGCAATGTTTCCATGAGAGGCATCATGGCAGAATTGCACAGAACTTAAGAACACACTCAAGTGCCCCCAGGCATGGGTTTCAGACCTTGGCTCTGCCATTCAGTTTTGTGACTGAGAAAGTTACTCCCCTCTCTGGGTCTTGGTTTCCTTGTCGGTAAAATGAGGATGATGATAGTACCGACCCTCACAGGCTTGCTGTGAGCACTAAATAAGGGAAGCCCTCCTCTCCCCAAGAACACAGTAAAGCTCCGTGAACACCAGATAGCAGGGTTGCTATTACTCCTAAGCGAATGTCAGAGCCTGGCATCCTGGCCCTACCTCCACCCCACATCTTGGAGCTGGATCCCAATCCCGGGCTCTGATTTGGGCCCTCAGGCCTACTCTGCGTCCCTCCTGATCTCAGGGCCTGCTGGGGCGAGCCGGGGTGAGGGGACTGATCCCTGGGGTCAGGTCCCAAGTGGCATTCATTGGGGTTTCTGAGAGGTTCCCCCTGAGTTCTCAGCGGCATGAAGAAGGAGAGGAATTAGAAGGGAGAAAGGAGCGGGGCAAAGGCAGAGCAGCGGCCTTGGAAACCTGGCTGCAGGCTCTTCGAGCCTCTGTTGCTCTGGGTCTTCCTCACCTGGTATCTGAGCCCCGGGTCCCCTAGCCGGCATCACAGAAAGAGATGTGACCTCTGGGAAAGAACGTGAGCATGACTTCTCTCACGTAGCCAGAAGGGGTGCAGACCAAGTCGTAACCACCCCTCTGAGGAGCTGCTAAGGCTTGAGGGCATTCTGTTCATTGGTCTTGGGGTTGACCACTGACTTCCAAGTATGGGTGCAGATGTGGGCTAGAGGCTCGACTCTGAGCTCTGGGGTCCACAGGAGATAAACAACTACCGGCGGGCCATGGAGACGATGGCTGAGGACATCCTGTTGCTGCGGAAACAGGCCAGTGTCCTGAAGGCAGAGAACCGCCTACTGAGGAGCCACCTGACCCAGGAGGAGATGGAGGAGGAGCAGGACATTGCTGACCAGACCCAGACACTGGGTGAGGGCATACAGGCTACTGAGGGCATCCAGGTGCCTGCCAGAGCCTCAGCTCTTAATTCTGGGATGAGGTGGTGGGGAACCTTTGCCAGGAGTACACCTTACTGGACACAAGCTGACAAAAGCCAGCTGGGCCCTTTCCACAGTGGGAAACAGAGTCTGGTCCCTTCTCAAGCCCTAGGACTGAGGAAGACACTTGTCTCCACCCCCAAACTGTTCTGATTTGAGCTGGAAGGTGCCCCCTATCTGAGCCACCTCTCCACCTGCCCCCACCACAGGATCCATGCAACAGAAACTGCTGCTGAGTGAGCTGGACATGAAGAAACTGAAGGGCAAAGTGCAGCATCTACAGAATGAGCTGATTCGAGTGAGCTGGGGCTTGGGAGTCAGAGGACATGGGGGGCTAGGGTAGGAGTCTGCAGAGAAGCATCTGGGAGCAGAAGGGGGAAGGGCTTAGAGGGCCGGGGGTCAGCACAATGGAGGACTCAGGAGAGGGGCCTGGGGTGAGGCCTCTAGGCCAAGGGTAACACCCAGGGGAGTGTTGCTCCTGGCACCCCTCCTTCCCACGTTCCCTCTTACCCCTCCCCCACCACCAGAAGAATGATCGAGAGAAGGAGCTTCTTCTCTGGTACCAGGCTCAGCAGCCACAGGCTGCATTGCTGAAGCGGCACCAGGACAAGCTGCGGAAGGTGACAGCGCTGGAGGAGACCGTGCGGCACCAGGAGAAGGCAGGGCCGGGGTCAGACAGCCAGGGGCCAGCCAGGGAGGGAGTGTGTGGAGGCCCCAGCCCAGCCCCTGCCTCTGCTCCCTAGGTGATTGAGAAGATGGAGCGGGTGCTGGAGGACAAGCTTCAGGAGAGGAATGCGCCCCCACCCAACAGGCTGCCAGGGAAGCCCAGCAGGGGTGAGGCTGCTCCCCAGGGTGTCATCCAGTCCCTGGAGTCCCTGCCTCCCAGGGCTTCCCTGTTCCAGTGGCACCTTCCCGTTGCGGCAGGTGGTGGCACTCCCCCACTCACAGGCCCTCACACTCTCTCCTCCTCCCAGGAAGCCAGGGCACGCAGTGTGTAAGCCAGGCTAGAAAGATGCAGGGGAGAAGCCCTGCAGACCAGAGCATGCAGAGAGGGGCTCCCCAGGAAGTCCCTCATTTCTTAACTCCAGGACCCTTCCAATTATTTCTTCCTCTCCCATATTTCCCAAGAGTCTGCTTCTATAAAGCAAACACACTTTGGGTAAATCAATGGTTTGTTTTCTCCATTGACGTTAACCAAAGCTACCTAGAACTGCCATTCGGAGGCGGCTCTAGTGAGCGGGAGAGAACCAGGTCCCCTACGTCAGGCCCAGGCAGAGAACCTCCCTGAGCCTGACTGCGCAGCCTCGCCAGGGCCCCTGCGTGCCCAGCCTGCACTCGGCCTCCACTGCACGGGGCTGGGGGTGGCAGGCCTTTCTGAAGGCCTGCCTTTCAGGAACCCTGAGGTCACCCAGGAGTGGAATGAGAGATAAGAAGGCAGCCTCAGGAGGGGACTCAGCTGGGGCAAAGGCCCAGGGAGTGGCCATGCCAGAAGCAGAGAAGGGAGGAGAGGTAGAGAGGTGAAGAACAGCAGTAGACCCAGGACAAACAGCTGCGGTAGGGAGTGGCAGGGAAAACACTGGGGTCAGATGCTAAAGAATGGAGAAGGAATGCCTGAGGAGTATGGGACTGATCCCATCGGCAGTGGGGAGCCCTTGAAGGCTTGGGAGCAAAGGAGGGGAGAATGGAGCAAAATGCTGGAGCAGATCAGACCAGGGACATGGAAGCAGAAAAACCCATCTCACAAACATCTGCAACCATTTCACCTGCTGGGGACTTCCCCGGGCCCCACAGGAGAGAACCTGCCTGCTGACCAGTACACAGCACTGCTGGCAGAGAACTCAAGGCTGCGGGCCGAGCTGGATAAGAGCCGCCACCGGTCAGCGCCCAACATTCAGCAGCAGCAGGCCCTGCCGGTAAGAGCCACCGGCACAGGCTCAGCCTGGGCCTGCCTGCGCTGGTCATCAGGTGCCCATCAGGTCCTCAGCATAGTCCAAGTTGAAGGCTAAGACCAGGAACTAGGCTTCCCAGGGTCTCCAATGTGCCTGGTGTCTCCAGGAGTGCCAGCCCTCAGGCCTCGCTCTTTCTCCTTGGGGGACACACTTGGGTTTGAAAGCTACACCTTGACCCTTATCTAGCATTCTGAGAGCAGGCAAGCCCTTGCTGGCCCTGGGCCCCTGATTCCTTTTGGCACCTGGCTGCCCTCCACTTGGACTCCACTGAGACCTCTCAGAAACTCCAGTATGAAGCATCTCCTGAGACTGGTACAGCCTTAGAGAGCCCTTTTCCGCCTTCCCAGATAGACCCCAGGGAGTTGGGAGCAGGGGACCTGGCAGAGGGCTGCAAGAGACGATGGCCCAGGCCGCTCCAAAGGCATAAAAACCCTGCTGACAGACGGGTTCCCCAGGCTCCAGACACGCCCTGGCCCCACTGCACTTCTGAGGCTGCTGCAGGTGCCCTGCCCTATGCAAACCCGAGACAGAACATTTGAATTACAGAAGGGGGGTGGCTCAGGGCACAGGAGAGTTTTCCTCTTTATCCCAGGAGTCACAGGAGGTGAGTTGTGTTTGAAAACACAGCTAATGAATGGACACCCAGGTACAGTTGCCGGGGGCAGGGGAGCCCTTGTTTCACAGAGATTCTTCACTTCCTACACCAATGAGCACTCCCTTGTGCATTTCACATTTAAAAATTGGCGTGCAAAAACCATGTACCCAAAATCTGCGTGGAGAACAGCTGTGGAAAAAAAGCACATGCCATGCCAAGTCTGACCTTTAGGAAGGGGCTTCAGCCCTGGGTCTGAGCTCTGCATAGCAGAGATGAGTTTGGAACTCAGACCTGGCTGGTTCCTCACTCAGCGTCTCCTGGCCTCCTGAGCTCACACAGTCTCAGCCCCCAGCTGGGGCCATGCGTGAGTTTCTGCTTTGCTTGCAGGATCACCTGGACGACACTTCAGACAAGTTTAACCTCCTGGCCAAGCTGGAACGAGCTCAGAGCCGGATCCTGTCCCTGGAAAGACAGGTAGCTGAGGCAAAGCAGTTGGTCAGGCTGGACAAGCTCAGCACTTGGTCCATGAACAGGGTTAGCACTTGGTGTTTGAGCAGGGTCGGGGCTCACTGAACAGGATTGGGGCTCAGTGTGAGCAGGGTCGGGGATCACTCTGAGCAGGGCTGGGGCTCAGTGTGTTGTTGGAACTCAGGGAAGATCCATCTGAGTCTTAATCAGACTGTCACTTGGCCCCTCTCCACTGAACCGTGCCACCCCTGAGGACTCTTGGGAAGCTCACATTGCCCAGGGTTTTGCTTTCTACCCAAAGAGTAGGCTCAGTCTCTGGTTCAGATCTCAGAGGTGGGCCCTGTTAACTAGAGCTTCCCCACCTGTCCCTCTCCTTGGTGGCAGTTAGAGGACTCGGCTCGACGCTGGGGACGAGAGAAGCAGAACTTGGTCACACGGCTGCAGGAGCAAGAGCACGGCTTGGCTCACCCCTCAGACTCCACGGTCACAGACCTGCCAGTGAGTGATCCCTCTGGAATTTCTCCCTGGGATTTGGGCAGTGGAGCTGGCAACCCCCACCCTGAGTCACCGGCCTTGAGAAAAACTGTCCAGGGGGCCAGCTCCCGGGCTGGAATTCAGAGGACAAATCTCAACCTCTACTCTATTACCAACAGAAGTCCTTGCCTTATCTCAATTCCTTACCTCTCTAAGGGAACTAGAAAACCCTGCCACAACTACCTCCTCCCCGACAATGGTGGTGAGAATGAAAAAGGAGATGGCTGTGGATGAAGTGTTGCCCACTTGGGCACTTCTCTAATGCTCTGGCACTGGTTGTACTTTAGGACTGGATTTGCTCATAAGCAAAGTAGTTGTGACCACCACCCAACTCCATAATGCCTAAGATTGTCCCATGAGCACACCCATCTTGGGCAACTGCAACTCTGCAGACCTGCTAGAAATTGGGAGTGCGTTGCCAGAGAGAAGCATTGCCAGCTTCCCCAAAACAAACAGACCAGCTCACAACTGTCCCTCCAGCTCAGCCCAGGCCACCCAGTCCCCAACACAAAACCCCTGATTGCTCCTGCTCTTGAGCCATTAGCCCTCAGCTCACTTCCAGGCTCCCAGCCAGGCCTTTAAATACAGGGGAACTGACAGGGAACACAGGGATTCCTTTGCAAATTCACTTGCTGGGGCCCAGAGACTCCTGGATAAATTGGATATGACCTGCTGTGGTTAAATGGGTTTGGAAATCTTTGAGAAGTCATGGCCCTCTAAGCCATTGGCTGGCTAGGCAAGTTGTATTTGAATGCTCACCCCCAACCCCTGGGGGGAGGGGAGAAGGGCAAACTCACTTCACCTTGCTTTGTGCAACACAGAATCCCTCAACTAATGCCAAAGACCACAGGGAAGCTTCAGAACCGGACCCCTTGATGCCCAGCTCAGAAACTAAGTTCATCAAGCCCTCAAACTCCCAGCAGACCTGAGTTCCAGCGGACCTGGCTACTGGAGCAGTGCCTTCACTGTGTGCTGGGGCATCTCGTCCCTACCCCCTAAAAATGACTTCATTAAAAGTTGTAAGTCAGAGAACATTTGCCTCTTCCCTGGATCAGGGTGGCCTGAGTGGCCCAGCTTCCTCCTCCCGGACCCCTTTTTACCCCGGGCGCTCTGCTGCAGCACAATAGTCTCCTGCCTTGTCCCAGGAGCTACCATCTTTGGAGAGTCGAAGACCACAGTGGACCAAGGAGGGCAGGGAGAAAACTCCTTCCAAAGCAGGAGCCTAGGAGACTAGCTTCTTCCAGACCTCTGGAAGAAGTGAGACCACCAGAGTCCAACTCTTTTGGGAGATGTGAGGGAGGTTGGGACTTTCTACCTGCCCCCAAACATCTACCACAACTAAAATCCCTTCTTTCAAGTTTGGTTTATCTGTCTCTCAAGAAGGGAAAAACCTGAAGCCTGCCTGTGGCAATCATTACACGTTAGTTTGAAACAGCCCATGAACCAGGGCCAGGCTGAGCCTGCCATATTTTAGTCAGTGCAGCCAGGGATAGTAAAACAGGTGGCATTAAAGGGAAGGGGTCCGCCACAGAGAGAAGGCCTGGGTTCTAGCTACAAGCACGCTGTGTGACCTTGGGTGACTCAAGCAGCCTCTCTAGGCTTCAGTTTCCCTATCTATCCCATGCAGAGCTTGACCTCTGATGGTAAACCCCTTTCCGGCTCTAACATCTCTGAGTCAAAGGTGACTCTGAGAAGAGAAAGGAAGGAGGAAGGATAGAGAAAGACAAGGAAGAGGATTGTGTGGGGAAAAGCAGAAAGGCTCTAACAGTGGACTCAGAACATGCAGATTCTGGTAGAAGACTTCAAGCTAGCTGGGCTGCTGTCCCGGGCAGGACCAGCTCCCCTGTCTGCTGGCAAGACTTAGACTCAGGTAGCTGAGGGCCAGGAAGTGTCAGGCACCTGGTTCAGGTCAGGGGTTATGGAACTCAGAAGAGGGAAGGGGGCCAAAATTGGAACCAGTGTCAGGAAATTCAAATAATGGACCAAAGACTCTGCTGCATTCTCCACACCTTCTGCCCAGAGCTTAGAAGTGGGTGTGGCCCCCTAGAGAAGGACATTGAGGCCTTGAGGAAGCTCAGAGAAGGGTCAGATGGGCCGGAGGAAGCAGATTGGCCTCTTGTCCCCAGGGTCAGCCAACTCACACCAGCCCCTCACCCAGAGGCCTCGGCCCTGACCATGCCTAAGACTCTCTGGACCTTGGCAGATGTCCTCACCTGGACCCCACCTGGAACTCCTACCCAAAGTTCAGCCAAGCAGAGCACTGCACAAGCCTCACCTCTGATAGGTGGGCCTTCCCCAGAACCCAGGACTGGTCCACACCTCTCACACCTCTCAGGCTGCCCTGTTCTTTCAGCAGAGCTCCACCAGGGCCTCTGTCCCTCTGCCTGCCGCCCCAGCACAGCAGCAGTAGCCCCCATCTGCTCTGCCTCGTCCTCGTCTCCAGTCAGCAGGAGGCTCGATCCTGCTGGCTCCTGAGCTACTGTAGGTGGGTCGATCCCAGCAGAAGTGGTTTCAGGTGTGGCTACCCCATTTGTGCACAGATCCAACTGTTGACCCAGGTCAGAGAGCATCTCCACAGGAGTGATGGGTGCCTTAGGGGCCAGGTAGAAATGAAAACACTTCACATAGTTCAGCCCTTTATTGCCTTCATGGGGTGGAAGACGAGGGGAAAGAGGTGGATGAAAGAGGAGTGCCTCCACTGAGCTGAGGCAGAAAGGAGGAGGGGTAAGGAAATGGGGGTTGAGGATGCAGACACCTCCATGGGCCTGGCCCCACCCTGCGCCCTCCTTTCACACCATTCTCCATGATCAGACCTGGGGCAGGTCCTGGGTTAAGGGCCGGAAGGTAAAGAAGATGGGCTTGTCAGGCATCAGGATGAGGTTGAATGTTGTGCCCACGTCACTGAGATGTTGGATTTCAACTCTGAAGTTCTCCAGAATCTGAGAAAGAGGGGTGGGCTTAGGGGACAGGTGGGGAGGATCCATCTCCCCTAGGCCAGGTTCATTCACCTGTAGGCAGTGCCTGTTGAGTATGATTTGGGGAGCTCCAAAGAGCCCACACCAGCTCCTACTTAACCCTGCTCAGTGCCTGAAAACACACCACTAGTGCTGTCTCCTTGACTCAGGCTTTCACTTTAGTTTCTACAAAACCTTATCCCACCCAACCCCCACCTCATCACCACTGTGGGGGCACCGATGGATGGGGGCACCAATGGATAACAAGTGGATTAGTCCAAAAAAGGAGGCAGGAAGGAATTGTGGGGGAGGGCTCTGGACAGAGATGGGAGTAGGAGGGTTGGTGCTTTTTTTCCATGTTGATTTTTTTTAGAGAAAGACAGAGAGCAAGAGACATCAATTTGTTGCTCCACCCATTCATGCAGTCATTGGTTGTTCTTGTATGTGCCCTGATCAAACCCGAAACCTTGGTGTATCGGGACAACACTCTAACCAACTGAGCTACTCAGCCTGGGCCGGTGGGGTGGTGCTTTCATTAGGGCCAACACCAGCCTGCGGTGCCCAGAGGTCCCCAGGCTAGACTCACGTGGATGAGGAAGAGAGTCATCTCGAGCTCGGCGATCCGTCGGCCCACGCACTGCCGAATACCCCAGCCAAAGCCCAGGTTCCGGAAATGGATGAGGTCCTTGTCTTGCCCCAGCCAACGGGTGGGGTCAAATTTGCCCGGATTGAGGAAGAAGGTAGGGTCTTGGCCCATGGCATAGACAGCCACCTGCACCAATGTCTGAGGACAAGGTGAGCAGAAACCTCAGTAGGCCTCACCTCCTCACAGCCAGGAGCGAAATCCAGTCTTCCCCACCCCCACTCCCCAGCCTCGCTGCCCAGCTGTCCAGCAGACACTGCCCATTGTGTGACCTTGAACAAAACCCCACTCTTTCCTGAGCCTCGCCCAAGACTGATGCCACTAGGCCAGGAATGGCCCAGGGGATTTTCCTGTCCTTCCCTCAGCATCAGAGGGCCCCCAAGACCCGTGTGGCCTGTGGAATTGCCCTCCTAACCCTGGGCTCCAGCAACATTGCAGGGATCACCCGCTGTGCCTACCACCTCTGCCCTTCACACTTTGCTGCTGCCAAGGACCCACCAGCCAGCTCCAGGAAGACAGGCAGAATCTGTCCATATGCAACTGCCGTGGGGCCAGCCTCCTGTCTGGCTGACAGGGCCTGCAGCCCTGCTGTACCCACCTTGGCAGGAATCATATAATCTCGAAGAACCAAGTCACTTGCAAGATATCTCTGCAGGGTCACGGAAATGGGGTGGAGTCTGTCAGAGGAAGATGTTCAGAAGCTAACACCCAGAGGCCAGGACAAAGCCCCCCACCCAGCATGGCATCTCAGGCCCAGTGGCAGCACCCCAGGGGAATCTGGAGGCAGGGCCAGGACTCTAGTCTTTTCTCCCCATTCCCAGCTGTCTCTCCCAGACTTCTCACTTCCTGCTACCAATCTCCACCAGTCCATTCTTATAACCCTGTCCCCAGGCACCACGCTAGCCCTGCCTAGGATTGGGGATGGGGGCAGGCATGAGTGGGTGTGGACTTGCCTCAGTGTCTCCTTGATGCTAGCTTTTAAAAGCGGGACCAGCTGCAGCATCCTGCTCATGTCCCCCCCAGCCTGCTGCCGGGCAGCCAGGACCTCCTCCCGCAGCATCTTCTGCACTCTCAGGCTGCGTGCCATCTCATACAGGTGCCACTGCAGTGTCATGGATGTCTGGCAAGGGGTATGGGGAGAAGAAGACCAGAAAGGCCTATTACTCCTGAGGCTTCATTTCCAAGAACCTCTCCCCACCCTCATCCCAGTATCTAGAGACCATTACCTACAAAAGCAAAGTTAATTCTAAAGACAAATGTCCCAGAAGGCTCTCTCCAGCCCAGGCAGAAATGTTTGGTGCAGCACCTGTCCCTACCCTGGCCTCTCATGTCACCAGAGGCCAACAGCTCCCCAGCCAGCACAGAGCACGACAATGGCTTCTTCCAGAGGACCTCAGAAGCCTCAGGAGGCCCCAGTGCCCTTCTGTAACAGCTATCCACTGACTGGCTCTCATGCCTTTTGAAATGCCAGTTAAATGAGCAGCCCTCTCCCCAGCAGAACTTTCCCAAGCCTTAACATTTGCCTATAGCAGCCAAACAGGGAAGAAGGCTCAGATAATGAAATCAGGACCACTGCCCTGGCTCCTGTCCATGTTGCAATTAGCATGTTGTGTATACTGACACAAACCTGCTAATATTAATATTAGCAGCAGGGTGAGCATTAGCCCTTCCCTGGAGGTTTGAGTGATCCTCACCAAGCCCCATGGTCCCACATACCTCCCTGGCAGGGCCCCAGGCTGGTGCAGCCCTTTTTCCTAGGGTTAAAACATGTGTTGTTGCAAATATCTTACCAAGAATCATGCTTTTGTCCAAGAGGTTTGAACACTCTCCTTCTTCTAGTAGGAGAAATCACTAAAGCGTGCCATCCAGCCACTTCCCAGTTTGAAATCCTTGCCTGGTCCCCCAGATCCCACAGGTCAAGTCCAGAGGCTCTGACCTTATGTACAGGATCCCCGAACAGCTGCCCACTGCTCCCAGCCTAGCCACCAGCTCTCTCCAATATGCACTCTCTACTCCAGCTGTATTGAGCTAAACACAACCCCAGAAACCCAAAAATCTTCCTCCAGCTGTGTCGTCCTCCCAGAATTCCCTTCCCAGTCTAGGAAGCCAGTCTGTACTCCTTCAAGGCTCCAATCAAATCTTTGCATTTGCCCTCACTGTTTTCAAGACTGGACAGAGTGGCTACCCAGGAAATACGTGTTCATGTAGGTAGTCAACTAAGTTAATAGTTGTGTGACCTTAACTAAGTTAGTCAACCTCTCTGTGCCCTAGTTTCCTCACCTGAAAAATGGGGGCAATAATAATATTCCTCATAGTTTTGTGAACACCAAAT